TATTATTATATATTTTTCAATGTTAACATTTTTTATTTTAATAAATTAAAAAATCACGTGAAATTCGATAAGTCGGTTCTCTCGATAAGTCGGTCGCAGGGGTCCGCCCCGACATGACCGACTTATCGAGTTTACGTATGTATATATAAGTATAAATACATTAAATTTATTGCTGTGATCAATGTTACACATTCCATACAAATCTTGATTTTCCCTAAAATTTTCTAATTTGGTAAAAATCTAAATTATATTTTGTCACATATTATATCCAATAAAATCAAACTATTATATGTAACATAATTTTTTTTTCGCTGCCAAGAAGAGTCTAAAGTGCGAGTTTAATTAGAGGCTGTGGCAGAATAAAGAGGTATGTTACTAAAGAGACTGTGGTATGTATGTTGAATTAAAGGCTGTGTGTCGAAATTAAAGAGGCTATGATTAAATTAAAAGGCTGTGTTAAATTAAAGGGCTTTGCGTTAAATTAAAGGCTTTGCGTCAAATTAAGAAAGTTAGAACCAAATTCACATATGGAAAGGTTTATTATAGTTATTAGATATATAAAAGGGCCTTGATTATGACTTAGTCATAAAAGGCATTAAATTAAAGATCCACCACAAATATTAATATTGATAATAAAAGATGCCAGTGAACCCACAAGATGGAAACAATTGAAAAATTTTGGTGCTGAGGCAGATGCTAGATATATTCGTAATATTTAAATAATAAATAAAAACCCGTTTGAATATGTCTATGTCACATGGTTTTTAGTTATATAAAATTCCCCGACATACAGGTTGAAATTGGACATTTACATAATAAAATGTGATATTTCGAATTTTACGTGACAAAATTGTATTGTTTTTTTCTATTACACGTTTACTATATTTTTTTTTATCAAACAAAAATTTATTCATTTATTATTTTTATGAATGAAATCATTAACAGTTAGAGGAGTTTTTATTATTATGTAGTTTGTTTATATTAAAATTGGGCGACTAAATTTAAAGGTAATAAATTTATTTTAATGCTGAAATTTATTATATATATTTTTTCTGACGTGAAATGAGTACTTCTCTATTATTCAATGATATAGCTATTTAATTATAAGCAATACAAACAAAACAGGATGAGCAGATATATTATTTGCAATAATTAGATCACTTGGGATTTTACAGATAACTTGCATTTTAAATTAGCATTAAATCGATTAAAGATTTTGTTCATAAAAAAATTTTTTGAAAGCATTTCTTCAAACATGATGAATTTCAAAACTGCGAAATGATACACATACGGCCTTGCCTACATGGAAAAAAGGACAAGAAAGTTTATACGTGATACATGCAGACGTTCTTGGTTGTACGATTTGGTCATGAAGTGTCAGTTTTATGAATGAAATTATTAACAATCGGATTAGCCTTTTATTATTAGTTTGTTAATTATATGTATAAATTAAAGGTAAATAAATAATTAAGAATCTATTTTAACGCTGAAATTTGTTATATTACTATATGTATCTAATGTGAAATGAGTATTTTTTATTATTGATATAGCTATTTAATTATATGAACACAAACAGAATGAGTAAATCCTGCATATAATTAGATGTTTAGAGATGATATTTTAACATTTTTTAAAAAAAATTATGGATTTTATACACTTTTAAACTGGCATTAAAACTGATCCAATAAGTTTGGTTTCGATAAGAAATTTTTACTATCACCTTATTGTATCACAGAAATGAAAATCAATGACCACATGGAAATAAAAGGGGATATAAACAAGGGATATAAATCTAATATCTTTTTTGAAATGATCTGATAGAAAATAGGGAAGGCCGTGAATTTTATTGAAGAGTCTGTTAGGACTTCTTCTATGTTCAGGTACTTGCTTCAGACGACGAATGATCTCTGGAATTAAACAAAAAGTCATTGAAATGAGTTAGTCAGATAATCTAATGAATAAAAATTACGAGGCACTTGCTGAAATTTTTCTAAATTCTCCGTTCTTTTATTTTATTAATTTCTTTTTTTTTGATAACTACGAAAAAAAAAAAATAGTATTTTAATTTTATTCGATATCAGGAATTATAATTTTTGAGTTTCTAGATTAACAAGAGTTTATAGATTTCCGTTGAAGAGGAAAGTTAATGTTTTTAAATATATATTGTTATTTTTTTAATAAACTAATTTATTACAATTTTTCTTCTAAATTCAACAATAAATTTAGTTTATTTATAGCAGATTGAGAAGAATACATTGAAAATCTTGTGGATGAAAATTAGTAAAAGGTCGACTTGAAGATACAATAAATCTTTAATTCTCAAATTAAATGAGTCAAAATAAGTGGATTCGATTTTTTTGGCTTTTCCCTGCCATACAAAAAAACGAATTTGCATAGACGTAAAAAGGATTATTCTATTAAACCTGACATCTAAACTTGTTCATTTTAGGAATATTTTTTAAAGAACTCTATCGTATGCAACCATCATCAAAATATAATTATAATGGTTATAATAAAAACATTGATATGGGAAAGGAAAATTAATTTTATTTTCTCTTAGAATTGGTTCCTTAAATTTGATCATTACTTGGGCGATGTATTTATTTATAAATAATAAAATGAAATATATGTCAAATAACAACATCGGCGGCGTTCATTGTTTCATCAAAGAAGAAAATCAAAAGTCATTTATGATTGTGATGAGCGTTTGCAACTTCTCAATCCCAGTAATTTGGTATGAATCAACAAGGGAAACAGCTGGCACAAGAATTTAAGCTCTTTTGAAAGCTACTGGAAAATTTTCCGAGAAACAGCAACAATGGACTATTAGTGCTGGTATTAAGACAAAGAATGCTAGTGATGATAAATCAAAAGACTTTGGAGAATTTGAAGAAAAGCTCAATAGTAGTGGTAATTTTGCAGTTTACTTTCCTTTGGATAAATGTGCAAATACATCTTGTGTCTTCTAAGGAACAGAAACTTATCTACAAGAAAACAGGGCGTAAATTAGGGAGAGTACATAAGGATTGTCAATCAGTTAAAAGATCCTGACAAGTATACGTAAAAGACAAAGCCATTAGGCAACAGTCCGACCAAAAAGAGCATTTGAAACGACTCAGCCCCTACCCTGATCTGTTTTTTATTAATTACACAATTATTCTAATAAAATTGTTAATATCACAATCACATTACACAACAATACAATCGTGACGTTTTATCGCTTGTATGTATATACTAACAAAATTATTTTGTAACATCATATGGTTTTGTTGCAGTCTGCCCCATATAAAATATTATAGTTATCCGCTTGTGACATATTCAGGTATGTGGCTTGAGATAAATAAGAACCTGGCTGTGTATGTGGCTGTACATAGTTCAGGAAAGTTTGATTGATAATCTAGTGCCGGAAACAATGGTTTGACTGTTGAGTCACAATTGATTCCAAGATTAAAACTTAATAAATGGGTTACCACTTATGGAAAATTAGGGATGAAATAAACGAACAGAACAAAAGCAAAAGTTAACTTGACAAAGAGACATTAAATTATTTTGAGATTGAGTATAGTTTATAGCTGACCTCTAGCGTTTTCTCATTACCCGCGCCAAAGGGTTCTTATTCCATCATTCAACTGAACTCAAATAAGATAAGACAACTAAAATGATAGAATGACATATAAATAAATCATGTAATAATGTAATTCACTCGCTAGAAGTCGGTTCTTTTCTGAAGCAATGATACAATCAATAGAGCCACTCAACGTCAAATCATTTCAGACACGAACAGCCTTGTAAAGTATTCTGGATATACAACAAATTTGCCTCGAGTTTCATCATATCTTTTTTCATGATCTATTAATGGATGATGATGAACAAATGCAAGCATGAAAAAATACATAAACCTATGACATATTTGGATCATTAGCGTAATATTTAACCATATTCAGTATTTTATTGACTGTTGGTCTCAAATATACATATATACCATGTTTCTTCAAGATTGTTAATATAAAAAAAAGTAAAACTTATAAAATATTACATACCCATTTTATCTAATTACAAATTCAGGTATTTACTTATGTGATTTATACTTTCAAATTGCATATTCTGCTAAATGACTTCTGTAAACATCCATATATGGGGCATGTTGCTGCAACAAAGCCAAAGTGAACATTTGATTACAGGACCAATTAAATAATTGGGGGGACAAGTAATTGTTGTAAATTATTATTTAAAATCAAAACAGTATTGTACTTAAATAATAATAAAAGATAATAAATATACTTTATCACTTAACATTAACTTTTACTTTTTAAAAATTTAGAAGGTAAAATAAAACAAAAATGTCACAAACGTCATCAGCAATGTCATTATGTTCTGAGAAGTTAACACTTTGGATTCTTGTCGAAGGCAGTCCAAGACCTATAAAATTCCCTGTTGAATGGAATACTTCACCAGACTTGGACGATCTTGCACACAAACTTTGTAAAGAAAAAAAAACCTTCGAAAATGTTGATCCAGAATCCCTTGAATTCTTTAACCATGATGACAGAATCAACCCTCTTCGAGCAGGTACTCTTGTCACGAATTTGAGCACAACTGATGCAAGTCCTTTGGTTATACGTTACCCATTCTCTAACTCTGAAGATAAAATAAAATATTTTTATCTTTTTGATTTCGAATCTATACACCCATCACATTTACACCTATCTGTATATTGTTTGTAGTCATAGTTCGTTGCAACTTATCTGTATCCTGGTTAAAGAGCATATTTCCACACACAAGTGGCCTTTGGTGTCTTCTATATCACAAAGCTGAAGCAAACTTTGAAACTTGAGAGCAGAAACCCTTCATATTTTTTTATCTATAGAGAAGATGGAAAGAAAAGTAGTGAAGAACAGGTTGAAAATGAGTTTGCATTCAATAAGGTAGTGGAGGACATTAAACTGAATGAAAGTGGTAAATGTGGGATCAGTCTTTCAATTCAAATTCAAGTGAAGTGAATACTCATTTGTTTTCTTTTCTTTATAGGAAAGAAGGCATATGGAGAATGGGAAATAAGTGAAGTTTTTGAGAAGTTCCTGCATAAGAGTGGATCATCAGTAGGTGACATCAATCAGTTTGACATAGGTAACATTCTTGCAATGTTTTCTTATTTTGGATTATTTATCAGAGTGATTTATAATCTACATGTGTGCTTTTTTTTTAAACAGAAAAATTTACACAACCAGATCCAGAAATTTCTGATGATATAGTTAATTCCTTTATTGGTGAACCAAGAGAAAGAAAAAGACCTTTATTCATGTTAATCGTAATGAGAGAGTTTATTTCTGCTTTTATGATTGTAGCTGTTGAACATGTCCAGTTAAAAGAAAGTAAGCTTTGTCTCAAGAGTGAAGAGTGGCTTGATGGAAGTCATGGTTTTGGTCCTGTTGACTATTCTGTACATCTTGAGGAATTTGTTTTATTGGTCTGTGAAGCTAAAAAAGAGGATTTTGAGAAAGGTGCCACCCAGAACATTGTGCAAATGCATAGTGCTGTGGAGATAAATGAATATTGTACATACTATATTCTGTTTTTTATTGCTTGCTTATTGACATCTAACATTTCATTTTCAGAAAATAAACAAAAAACAAAAGATAGATGAGACAGATATGGAACCTGAACCTCAAGTACAAATATATGGTATTGTGACAAATGCATTAAAATGGTATTTTCTTAAATGGATTGGATCCCCAGAGAATCCTCAATTAGAAGCATCTGGACCTCATTTTTGTAAGTTTGATATGACAGATGCAAAGAAAATAACTAATTATATTGCCTCTATCCTGCAAATGCAAGTTAGTGGTCTGGGTAGCAATAAAAAAATTTGCCTATAAGTGGCATTCATTATTCAATTCTCATTATTTTATTGCTGTTATGTTGCATAAGTATTTCTATAATGTCTGCCATTTCTTTTTTTACAGGAAATCATAAGAAACAACTAAAAGCACAGAAGGAAGTGGTTAAATGTTTTTTGTCTAATCAAAAACATAAACATACAACTTATATTTTCTTTGCTGTAACATTTTTTGCATACTTTATAAAAGAGATTAAAACCTCTTTGCTAGATGATAGATATTATAAATGAACACAAAAAATTTATTTCATATATATAAAAATACTTGATCAAAAATTTTTATTACAATGATTGATAAAACTATTCTTTAATTTTTAAAAATAAAGAAGTTTTTTGTGTTTCCAATGTATGCTTAGTATTAGCTTTAAAAGAATTTACAGATAGAAATAAAGCATTGCTTTGATTGATCATTTTTTTGTCTACATAAATAGGATTTTGGCCAATTTATTTGAAATAAAAACCTACAAAGTGGACATAAAATTATATATATAGGGTTATATGTATATGAAAAATAATAATGTAAATAATAATCATGATGGTTCTAATGAATATGAAAAGGCAATTGATTTTTTAGAAAAAGGATGTAATTGTGGTTGTTCTTCAAGAATCCCAAAAGAAAATTTTGCAGAATTAAGAGAATACTTTCAAGCACTTTCTAAACTGGAACAGGATGGTGGATCAACTAGCACCAGTAGACGTCTTAAAATGAAAACCAGGTCCAATAAAAGAACTTTTTACCACTGGGATCACAATACACCTCTTTGTCAAGAAACTTATCTCAATCATCAGGAAATTTTCCCTGTCGCAATATTATGTCCATAAATTTTAATATGTAAAGTTGTAATATTTGCATAAAAATTATGTAATATTTACACTCGATGTAATAATTGCATAATTTTTGTATGATTATTTGCATAATATTATGGGCCAGCTGTAAACTTGCATAAATAGTGTAATAATTGTGTAAATCTGTGTCAGAAAAATTTCCTGATGATATGTTAGGAATTGCCAGGACTTATTTTGAAAATATTAGAAATCATCTGATAAAAAATGGCCTTCTGCCAAGAATTCATGGCAATATTAAAAGAATGCCTCAATGGAAAACTAAAATGGTGATTGATAAAGATGTTGCTGAAGTAATAAAGAATTTTCTGGAAAATTATGCAGAAGTTCATGGATTGCCAAGTCCGGGAAGAAGTAACAATAGAATAACTCAATCAATTGTATTCTTACCAGCTGAAATGAGTTATAAATCTGTGCACAGAGATTTTCTGGCTGGTCTAGAAGAAGATAGCAAAATGAAATCCTTAAAATATGATGCTTTCAGAAAATTATGACATCAATTAACATCAGAAATGCAAATTATGAGTCCAAGGACTGACTTGTGTGATACTTGTCAGCATTTTAGAGATGGTTTACATTATAATGCTCACCAAGAGGAAGAAGTTAAAGATTTGCTCAAAAGGTTTAAAGAACATCTGTCTAAAGCCAAATTAGAAAGAAATTATTATAATAAAAATACCAAATTAGCAGAAGAACAAAGAAAATTAGTTAATCAACATTATTCAAAGGGCAAAACACAATATTGCAGTATTAATGCTACTGTACATTATAGTTATGATTGAGCCCAAAATGTTCATGTGCCACATTCTGATCAACAAGTAAGTAAGATTTATTACCTAAGCAGAAGAGTTTATCAAATTTACAATCAAAGAAAAGAATTGAGAAGAGAATTGAAGGGTTAGGGAGGTATAAGGAGCAAGTTGAAAATTTAGAAACAAAACTTTATCAGTTTGACATAAGGAACAGGAAGAAATTAATTCTATTTCTTGAGAAGACCAATTTCATTACTGAGACTTGGAAGATTTAAAAGAATTATCAGGCAGAACAAAGAAGGAATTAAATGAAGTTATCTTTGAAGTCATTGAGAAATTAGAACAAAGTGCTAAAGACTTAGCTGAAGCAATAAATACAGCTGAAGCATGAAAAAATTGAGAAAAAGGTGAAGTAGATACACACTTGGAAGCCTTAGAAGTGGCTGAAGATTGGCATAAAAGACAGAAACAGGGATTATTAGATTAAATTAAGCAATTAGAAAAAGAAAATAAGCAACTAAAAGAATTAACTCCACAAGAATTAATAAGAGAGATCAATGAGTTAAAAACTCAATTAACTCAATTACAACAACAAAATGGTCAATTAATTGCTTAAATTGAAGTTAAAGAAACTAAAAAATGACCTTGATTGAAAATTAAAAATTAACAAAGTTGAAAAAAAAGTAATTATTCATTTTATCAAGTTATTCTGCCAGTTTTCTTTTTTTTCTTGATTCTTTACTAGAATTCTCTAATACTCTTTTGAAAACTCTTTCCTCTTGATAAATTTCATAGGTAATCCTTCCTTTGTCTAAATATGTTTACCAAGATTTGGTATCTGCTAATTTAAAAATGTAAGTAGCAATTTTCTCACCTTGTTCTTTTTTCAAAATACTTCTAATGGTGCTGTAATTCTTGGGTTCCATAGTAGACCTTATTTAAATGAGTTTCATATTAACTATTTTTGTCTAGACAAATATCATGATCACATTACATGATAATATAATTGTGATGTTAAAAAACGATATTGATCCCTGAAATCCTTGGTAATACCAATGTTCACTTTGTCTGGTTTTGTTGCAGCATGCCCCATATCTAAATGATTTTCTTGCAAATATTCTAATTTTAATTGTATCAACTGAATATAGAGCATTAGGAGCTACTGATTGTAAACCAGATCAAGAATAGTTACAATATAGTCAAATTTGTCTTTTTGTAGCTCCCCAATACCTTTCAATGTAATCAAGTTCACAATGGAATTTAGGATAAAAAAAGATTTTATGCCCAACTTTTTCAACAATTTCTTCTAAGAGGCTTTTTTGTAAAGCCTGATTGCAAAGAAATAATTCTTCATGCACAGCAATCAATTCTATTATCATCAACTACCTTTTCTTTACATGACTTGCAAATCAGCCAGCAATTTTTCTTTCTACAATCCTCTTTCAGTTAAGACCGTTTTCATACCCTCAAAGTGCTATATTTTATAATAATTTGGAAACACCATCAATTGAACCATAAAAGTAGGTCGCATATAATACATTTTTTTGCACTTCCATCACCCAAGAGCATTTAACTCTCAACAAAGCATCTTCAGCATAAATACCATGGTTAGAACTGTTATCAAATATTTTGACACTGTCATAAAAGGGGTCACACACATCAGGAAATTAATTTAGTGTAAACTTGCATAAATCTTACGATGCCGACGTAATATTGTGTAAATCTTACAGTGCCGACATAAATTTTACACTTTTTTATTATTAAACTTACAATTGACATGTGTAAAATTTTTTTATATTTTCCAGATGCATGTCATAAAGGGGTATTACACTTATGTTTTTAATAGTGAATGCTGTAATTAATTTCTACTTTCTACCATCAAAATCACCAAACCAATTTGCGCTACATGATTGACTTTCCATTCCTTTTTTTCTTAAAGGAAGCTCTTCATTTTTTGCCAAGACACCTCTTGAATCATTAGACTTTCACCATGAGTAACTAATATTTGCACTTTTTTCTTTCGCCTAAAACAGGCAGTTTTCCTTCCATTGAATCATCTTCATAAGTTGTCATAAATTTTCAAATCAGCCATTTTTTCAAGGAATATTTTACAACATCACCCATCAAAATAAACACCTTGGTGTGTTGATACTTATAACCTAAAATCTCTAACCAACATAATGCAATACTTGAGCTAATTGAATATTATCTGCAAGAGATTTATCAGCAAAAAATTTTAAACTTCTTTCTGTTATGATTCTTAACCATGTTTTCATCATCAATAATTCAAATGGTCTTTTTGGTGTTGTCCTCTACATGATGCTGGAAGTGATCCAGCTTGGAGTCAAATTTCTAATATTTCTTTCTGTGTATAATGGTTCATCAGGAAAATCAATTTTTATTGGCTTCCTTTTTTCAACAACACTCATCTCTTTTAAATTATTCACAAAGAGCATTTAACCTTTGCTCTACAGGATTTTTATTTAATTTCAACATTCTCAATATCTTCAACATTATCACCATCTCTAATGTCATCATTATCAAGGCTGATTCCTTTAGATGTTGATAGACCAAACCATTTTCTTAATTTTGGAATATCAGCTGCAGCTTTGATGAATGATCCACATTTATCACACCAAGTTGTTTTTTAATTTCTTCAATCATATATGATCCTTGCATTTCTTTTCAACACCTGCATTTTTCTTTATTCTTAATTCTAATGGAACATTTATCAGTTTGTTTTCCAGGTCCTCATATTCACTGTCATCATCATCATCAAGAGAGAACTTCTAATGGTTTATTTGGTGGAAAAAAATCATAGAATTGATACTGAAATTGATGAGAATATAAATGAATATGTACTTTAAATTTGAATGATGTAGAAGGAGAATCAGGTCAATTAAATGATGAGATTCATTGTTGGGTTTTTGTAAGTTGATTTTCTTTTAGAGATACAACCCATTATAAAAATATTTTAGATTTCCTTGGCTATAAAAATATATATTGAAGTTTAATGATAAAGTGGGATTAAAATTAAATTTACAAATCATTTAAAATTGAACTTTTCACGTATTTTACCGGCCAATCAGAGTGATTGAAAGTAAATTAGCCAATAATAATAGAGAACCCTGAAATTTTATATTTTTAATGTTGTCTTTAGATGACGTAAAGAATTTATTAGAGACGGAAAACTAGTGTAATTATAAGTTAAAACTATTGACTTTTGAGTATGGTTGGCAAAACTGGTTTTCGCCCCAAGTAAGAAATAGTGGGTTTTTGCTGCATATTAATGTACACTAATCAGTAATTTGCGATTATTATTATCTTAACGTATTCCATGCTTCCTAGATAAGATTTTCTTTTCTAAAGGAGCAAGCTTGCATTTATGATTCTGGAGACAGTGCTCAAAAGAAAGCAAACCACGCCTAATCTATGCTTTTGGAGGGACAAGAAACTGGTAAATATTGTGGCGTTTTACTTTTTGTTCCCATGTGTCGATCCTCATATGCAGGTGAAAAGTAGTTCGAATCATCAGAGAGGGAGTACGTGACAGTCAATGCTCAAAAAAGCTAGTCAAATTTGAGTAATAAAAAAATATTAATATGGATTTTTCAAATTTTTCAATTAATCCGCGCA